CACAGTCGTCGTGAAGAGAAAAAATAGCACATAGACCAAAATAACTATTTGCCACCAGGCTGTAAACATTTTTTTTCTGCTGTGAAGTTAGACATTTTAACTTGGGGGAGATACAGATTTGACTCGCTTTTGGAGCCAGCCTCAAGCGGCCACTCGATGAATTGCAGTTTAATCCACTTCCGGTTGGCTTCAAGAGAGAGACGGGGAGGTTTCCCCTTGGTTCTCAAATGCAAAATTTTTTTGACTAGGCCTACTTTTTTTTTTCTTAAAGGGCCAGCGCCCATGAGCACCCACGGAGTAAAACATAAATCAGCGCCTATGCCTGCTGGCAATCACTAAGTTGGTCTATATGTATTTATATGCATATATATTGTCTGTGGAAGGCATAGGACCACAAAATGTCCGTCCAATCATTGCATTCGGTACGTATGTGCTTTGAGACATGAGGTAGTTTAACGCCGCAATCATGGCTGCACTGCCACGAGCGAGACCAGCACCAAACATAAACTGGCTTTAGTGCGTGAAAAGCATTGCATGCATTGTCTATCACAGAAATTACAGTTTTAACAGCGAGCAGACAGCATGGCAAATGCTCCGTTCAAATCCATCAACACGCCACTAGACATACCACGAGACATTAATTCCTTTCAAGCGAGTACAGCCAGCACTGGAAAACAAGATCTCCAGGATGGAGTCCAGAAAGGCGCTCCCAGCACACATTTGCCATAAAGCACCTCTGGAGGAGTTGCTAATCTGATTGGGAATTTGTGGAGGGGGAGGGGGGGGCAATTCATCAAGATCCGTCTGACAGCCGAGGTGTGCCATCTGATCTGGTGGTGATTTCATACACCTTCAAGCAGAGCCAGCCGAGTGTCAATGAGGAGGAGACCTAATGGATTGAACTCCTCTGAAGTTCTGAGCCAGAGACTTCCGCCAAGTGGTGCCTTTTAAAATGCGCTCCCCTTATTTCAAGCTTTGCTGTGTGAAAGTAGGGCTTCTTAATTCTTACAAGACTAGAAGGAAGCAAGACCTTGCTTTACTTTGCTTTCATCTGGCCCTGCATAGCCTGCATGTCATTTAAGGCGGTTGACATAAAATAGCCTAATTATTTTGGCTGTGGCAGAGAGACCGGGTGCCTGTCTGTACTGTACTGGAAGCATCAGCGCTAATAGCTGACCTGTAGCTGTGATGAAGTAATGGCCGTTACCTGATACGGTGCACAAAATGATTGCTTGTCATACGGTTACATGTATGACAGATTTCTGAGTGCTAAATTACCACGGGAGGGCGTAAGAGAATGAGGGGGAAAACTTGGCACTTGATAATTGGTACTTCCACCAAGGGCTTTCTGTTTTGTATGGTGTGTCTGTAACTGCTTAGGTATGCTTACACAGTCAATCAAACATTTAGATAGACTAAACTTAATGCCAGCTCCAATAAGGAGCCCACAGAACCATTATTTAACCACAACAGTTATTGCATACCTTGTAACACTATATGTTTTAACATGATGTGTCATAGTGGGTGCTTTTGTGCCCTTGAATAAAAGCTTTCATGGGCTCAAAGCTGTGCATGATGTGAGCCTTTGGCTCCAAAATGACATTCCTTCAGCTCTGACAGCGGCTGTTCCATGTGTCGTGACAATCACTATTTAGCAAGAAGGGAAGAAGAGAGACATTTAGGTTTTGTTTAACCCATGCAACGGCGACATAGTAACTTCCCAAGGCCCTGAAATTCCCACCTGCCCCATAACTCACTCACACCAGTAGAGAAAACATTCCACCTGCGCAAGCCGTCCAAAACAGACTCTGAACTTCTGACGTTTTTGGTAACTATCCAATACAGAGGTCATTTGATAATAATGCATCTAGAAAGCGATTTATGCATTGCAGACAGCACTGAGCAAACTCTCTATTGGGTCATGGAGAACATGGCATGCACCTTATCCTATAAACAGCATTACATTTTGCTTAGAGTTGGTCTTCTAGAATTGGTTTGGCTGTTTGATAGATGAATGCAGAGAGGGTGAAACATAATTTCTAAACAATTTCCCCATTCAAGGCTATGATAGTTTTCACTCTCTGTATGCAAATATCACAGACAGGCAGTGATTTGGCTACACTTTGTTTCATTGATCCACTTTTGATAGTCTACTAACTATAATGCCTGGTTCAGATTACACGATTTTAGCCCGATTTTGGCATAATCCGTTTGACGTAGGGTGTCGTGGGGATTCATAAACGACAACGGGCGTCGGGACGCAAGATTCGATCGTATCATCTCTTATAGTGTGTCATAGTGGGCGACAACCTACGCAGTTGACCAATAGGAGCACAAGCTTTTCTTACACAACTTTCAAAAAATGGTGAAACCAAAGAGAGACGATGGTGCTAACGTTAAAACTAAAAGTAAAAATATATAAGAAAACAATATTTTACCTCAAGAAGGATTGACAGCCCATACTGTCCTCTTCGAGCAATCCAGGAACGTGTCCATTGTCGGGTTTTCTTTCTTTTTTTACTTTTTTCTGAACACAGGACATCCAATACAACACTCACCGCTTCATCCATTGTTTTTTTACGTTAGTTTCCGGAGGTCTCTCACTACTAGTTTCGCCTTCTCAAAGACGGCACGCGATGACTGGTCAGGAAGCAACATGTAGTCTGACATGTGTCTTGTCCACGACACGACAAGATTTTGTGTAATCTGACACACAGTGTTTTAGTCGAGACCACCTCACTCGAGTCCGAGTCGACACCGAGACCAGAGAGAGTCGAGTCCGAGTCAAGACCGAGTCCACAGAGAGTCGAGTCCGAGACCAGTGAGGGTTGATTACCTTATTTACTTTTATTTACTTAGAGAAATAATTTTTTTTTGTAACTGAATTTACTTAGAGTTTAAAAAATATGATCAGTTTAGGGTGAAAAGGCCACATAGTAGGTGGTGTTAAAAGTAATTTTATTACAATTTGTCATGCGCAGTTGCGCACTAGAAAATCACCAATCACTGGGCGTGTCAATCAATTTAAAGAAATATTTTATTAACATACATTAATAATCATGAAAAATATTTTTAATTGAACTCGAGTGGACTCGGGAATAAGTCCGAGTCCTAAAAAAAAAAATGTTCGAGTACGAGTCAATTCCGAGTCCAAATGCACACGAGTCCATGACAAGACCAAGACCATTAAAATATGGTCTCGAGACCGAGTCCGAGACGAGTCCGAGTCTCGAGTACTACAACACTGCAGACACAGTGACTATCGTAACAGACAAAAAACAAAAAACGTGTGATCTGAACCAGGCATAAGTAACTTTGCAACTGCTTGTCATCTCTCATTTGAGTATTAGTTATTAATGAGAGTTAGCTGACATAAGTTACTTATGGGTGGACCATGGAAATAAAGCTTTACTTTGATTTGTTGAGCTTGTGACATATGGAGGAAATACCAAAGCTGTTTTATGGCTACAAATTCATTCATTAAAATGAACATCCCAGACTGCTGAAATTAAGATGCGGACCTGATGGCTTTTATGGAAAACGTATAACAATTGCAAATCCTCACAGGCAACAAGGGCAGTATTTCTCCGTAATAAATTGATTCAGCATCAGTGAGACGGTGCTGAGAGAGGTCTCTTTTAGGAATAGCCTGGAAACACATACATCAGCAAGTGCCGAAGAAAGTATTTTTGTGAAAATAAATAAATCATTGTGAAATACTCTGGGTTTGTTTGGAAACTGGGAACAGACCCCCACATCCTTTCCAATCACGACTAAACATTGCACAGACGCACATCCAAGAACATCAAAACAACTGCAATTTAATGACGGGGCCAAAGCGGAGTTGGAAATTTTTTGATTTCCCCCACTTATATTGCATCGCTCTAAGCCTTCTTCCTTGCAAAGTCACTCTGAGCAGACAGCAACGGCATACGCAGTTGGTGACTAGAGCCAAACACACTGACCTAATAGGCACTTGCGTGGCTCACTGGACACTGATGTCCACCGGGATGGTTTTTTATTTGTAAAGTCTACAAAAGCTGACAGAAAGAGTCCAACTGTAGACTTCAGAAACGCAGGACACATGAGCTGTGTTTTCGATTAACAAACTGATCACAACCCTCCCCATCGTGCTCTACGATCGAGGGAATGGCCTTAAAGAAAAGCAACACTCACCACATTCATATTCCCAGTCGAGCATTCTGGCACAAGACGCATGAGAACTAATGCTAACATCTGTAGCTGAGATAATGTTTATGACATTTCGTTGTAAAATCTCTCTAGCCTGCATTTGGTGGTTTGTACAACCGTATTTGCACGCTGCAGTTCAGCTTAATGATGTAAACCATCTAAACAACTGTTTACAATCATTTCTATGCCTCTGTGATGTGAATGCATAACTAACAGAAGTCACATATATCAGTCGTGACTGACCAAAGTACTGCTTAAACTCTGAATCCTATCCTAATTCACTCAGAAATTGTGTTCTCAAACAATTCTAACAAGAAGATAAATGTTTTATATCTATCTTCTCGTTTGAAAATGACCTGGATGTTATTAGGCAACAGCAAAACATATGAATCATGTGAATGTCATCACTCCCGATTGTTTCCCATTATTGTCGACCAGATTCCTCAGTAAACAGCCCAAGCGGTAATGTTCAAGATCTGAGGGATGCCTCTGAATTGTTAATGATATATATATATATTAATGCATTGTAGACTCTGGAAGATGTCATCGCTTATATGATATTGGCATCATACAGTATAATAATACGCATTACACTGAATGCATGTTAATAGTATGCTATCACCTCGAGTGAAAAGGCATGACTAAAATCTTGAGTAAACATGACCACCTGCAGTGCACAACGTTCACTTTCTACACATAGCACACTTCTGGTTTATTCACAATTTGCAGGTCAGACCACAGCATCACTTCTATGCCATTAATGTTTCTCAGGATCTCCTATATGAGCCACCAAAGTTTACACCACCTACCTCCTTGCAGCGCAGGACTCAGCTGTGCGGCGAGGAAGAATCCGAGAAGGAGCATCGCAGCCCTCCTGTTAGCCATCTCGCTCCAAAATGCACTGGCCCTCCCCGAATCAGCTGGTTTTATTCTCCAAGAGCTAATTACCACTTCAAAAATGTCTGAAAAAAAAGAAGAGGGGAGGAAAAAAGAAAATGATACTGGACACGACGTAATTAAGAAAGGGCAAAGCCGTTGGTTCGATGGATCACTGCACTTTTTTTCTCTTCTGTGTCTGGTGTTGCTGTTTTTATTCTGGTCACTCCTGCCAAAAAAGCTGAGTGCTGCCAGAGAAAGAGTGAGAGAGAGAGAGAAACAGAAAGAGACATGCATGGAGGAAAGACAGGAGAGAGGGGAGGGAAGGACAAGAGAGAACAGGAGAGACGGGGAGAGCAAGAGACCTTGCTTTCCCACTCTCTCGTCCAAGAGGAATTTCACTGTCTTGCCAGACATTTGCATGGACTTCAGGTTTTTTTTATGCGAGCAGAAGAATAAAACAAAATCAGCTCTTGGATAATGATGTTCACCCCATCCCTGGGTTTCTTCCTTGCAACCACTCAAAAAAAAACTCATTGATCCTCGACTAGTTACAACTTTTCTCATTCCTGTAAAATGACAAGTCTTTTTGTTTTCCAACTGCCACTCAGTAAAGGGAAACTCGACCAATGTTTGTCTAAGAGACTTGGGGGAAATTAAGCCCATTTGTTCTGTGAGGGGCATGTCGAAAGCTTTGTGATGCATACACCTGCCAGCAATAACTGCAGTGATACTTATTACAAACAGTATGAACTGTATATGTAATGAAAGACCTTCATTAAAAGGATAGTTCACTTTGAAATTCATTTTTGGTATGTTTTATCTTACCTCAAGGGCATCCAAGATGTAGGTGTCTTTGTTTCCACAGTATTTTCAATTTTGACATTTTTAGGTCAAACCGTTCTTGTCTGTCAGTCATATAATGGAGGTCACGTCCAAAGTTAAGTCCAAATTAAACATGATTTAATGACTCGTAAATGTAAGTACACATTGATGGCCTAAGACACGAAACGGGCGGTTTGTGTGAGAAAATGAATGGCATTGATATTTTTTTACCTCTTGTAACCACAGCTATGTCCAACTGATCTGAGGCCGCGGCCGCTTCAGTCTGCGCAAGCGCTGGAATTGATCCCTCACGCGGTTGTGAAAAAAATCAACGTCGTCTGATATACCGAAATCATCTTCCAATGCAATTTCCTGTATATCTAAATATGTTTAGATCTTCACAGTGAAGGGTAACACTTCTGAAATCTCTGTGTAAATAATGAGTGACGTACACACGTGCGAGAGATCACTTCTGGTGCATGCGCAGACCGAAGCGCCCGCGCCCTCAGATCACTTCCCAGATAGCAAACTGACATTGAATCAACGTGGAAATATGACATCGAAACAACGTTGATCTGACATTGTTTTGCTCATCGAATTAACGTTGAACCAACGTCAGACGCGTCATTCTTTCAAAACTAATGGAAAATCAACTTGAAATCAACGCGTTGTTTCAACGTTATGAAAGCAAACCAATTTTCGATTTTCATTTAGCTTTGAAGAATGCCGCGTCTGACGTTGGTTCAACGTTAATTCGATGAGCAAAATCAACGTTGTTTCAATGTCATGAGAGACGTCGTTTCCACGTTGATTCAATGTCAGTTTGCTGTCTGGGTTGGACGTGGCTGTGATTACACGAGGTAAAAACGATATAAATACTGTTAGTTTTCTCACACAAACTGCTCGTTTCGTGTCTTAGGCCATCAATGTGTTCTTACATTTACGAGTCATTAAATCATGTTTAATTTGGACTTCTCTGTGCATGCTCTTTGAGGTGGACCCCCTAAACCTGCATTATATGACTGATAGACAAGAACGGTTTGAGCTAAAAATGTCAAAATTGAAAATACTGTGGAAACAAAGACACCTAAATCTTGGATGCCCTTAAGGTAAGCTATAACATATCAATGATTTATTTCAAAGTGAAATAGGCATTTCAAAATGCACACAAACTCGTAAACAAAATTAATAGAAATAACAGGCGTTAGTGGGTCAGGTTAAAAAAAAAGAAGGAATGAAGAGTAATTCTTGCTCAAAAGAGAAACAATCTGGGCAGCTACAAGAAAGCAGACATGCCCATTAACATGAGAATCATACACTTGTGATGAGTGGATGAGAGTAGAAAGAAAGACAATTGATGGAGCAGAGAGATGCCAAACTCACTAAAGCTTAGCTATTGCACTCATCCCCACTCTAGTCCAGAGCTAATTGCCAACCCTAAATTCTCAGTGAAATAGTTGGCTCTAAATCATGTATGTGCTAAGTACTTATTACCTACATTAGAAACTAAGACAATATTGACTAGCAGAGACACACAACCAGGGCCAGAAAAACAAAACCTTTATCTTGCTCCAGGTAGCACAGGTATGCATTCAATGTGCATTAACTAAGATCATTACTTATTTAACTGTTAAAATCAAGGCTGTTGGTCACATGCAAAGAGAGGAAGTGTCCAAGACACACACACACAAACCAACCCTCATGGACAGTCCAAGTTTTGTTTGTTTTTATAATATTTTCAGTTCCAAGTGTGGTGAAGATGATTTCCTCAATAAGCTTTGTCTCCACAGATGTGAAGTAAGCTCCAGTGTAAGTTTTCCCAAGAGTGATGTAAGAGGAGTCACCTCGAAATCCTCACAGCTAATGAAACGGATGTATAAAGACAGATGGACAGACAGAGAGAAAGCATTTCTGAGAAAGAAACTGAAAGATCGTTATTTTTTTTCCAATATAGCTTTAACTTAACACCATTTCTGGACATTGATTTATATCTGCAGTAAATTGTTAATCTGCTGATTCATGGTGTCAGAAAGATTTTTCCACGGTTAATTTCACCCAATATTCTGTATCGCTGTCCACTTTATATTTCGTTGATTTAAAGTAATGCCCCAAGTACTTCTTGATTATTTTGTAACAATCCCCCTGCCCATTTATAAAATATAAGATATATCAATGGCCTGTAACGGCAGATACATCACATTTGATGAGCAGGTCCTTTTAGAATAAGGGAATATGTCTGTAAAATGTCAACAGTTTACCGTTATCTCACACCCAAAACATTATGAACCTTTTTATGAACCGTTTTCCGCATTCTGCGCAACCACATTAGTCCTGTGTTTAGCTTAAGGATAATAACTTTTGCCTAATGAAGCTGTGTTAAGACACTGAGTGCATTTTTTGGAAGTCAAATGCATTTTCCTCCTTTTTTGTCGGCTTTTCTATTTTAGCTCACGTCTGGTGCGTGTCCTTTCAGCATCTTGGAGACGCCAAAAGACTCAGCTTGTTTATGAATCCGAGGAGTATGTGAATATTATCCAGGCCTGCATTTGTCAAATAGTTCAGTTGTTAAAACATTCAACACTTCATTCTAAAAGTCTGGACATATCTTGGAATTCTTGTGGTTATATCTAAGAAATAATAAGGCAGTTTAGTTCACTCTTTGTATTATACACAATGGTTATATTTGTTGCAGAAAATGAATTCATTTTAAATATCAAGCAAAGAAGATGATATTACTCCTATTTTAATCAGACTTTAAAGATAGATAGTTCACATGCAGATGCTATGGGGTCTAACAAGCTTTCAGTAAGCATACAGTAACATAGCGCCTTCAGAAACAAGCTTGTCTCACAGTGCCCTGCTCAAAGAATAATACTTTGCTTGAGCTTTAGATTTCATTTTCTTTGGCTAATTCGCATTGTTGTATTTTTAAATATGACTTAGTAATTTCTTTCTATGAACGTGAACCGTTTTTTTTTTTTTTTTTCAAAGTCTAGAGTGAGCACTTCACCAAATATAACATTGTATGGAACTTAATAAATAATTGTTCACATTTGTCATATGTCACCTCCTAAAAACATGAACCAAGGATCCAAGCTTTTCATAATGTGGCCTTCTGTCACATGTCCCTAGCAGTCCATGAAGTATAAAAACATGATTAATAAGGAACTGAGTAATATTCTGGCTGATGGTGACTTGCATGTAGGTAGAGACAAAGAATCTCTACAATAGTAAGACTAGTGGTGTTACCCTCACTGAACCCAATTGCACTGCAAGTACACTAGATTCTCTGTTTATTTGGGACACATCCGTCTATGGACACTGTTTATATAATATATAAAGTTTAGGTAGTATAAAATAAATGCATCTCTGAGGCCTGACCCCACACCTACTGCGCTTGTCTTCGCTCATCCCACCACAATTACCAAAGCCGGGTTCAGTCTTTTTAAATCCTCAGATTCTCTCAAATCTCAAACATATCCACACTACGAGATTTGAAAATTGTGGCATATCGGCCAATAATCTAATCTGGCCCTAGCCAGATGAATGTCGTTCTGCTTAGCTCCGCCTAGCTTCACTCACATCCATCTGGAACCTCTTCCATTGAGAGTGATTTCTCCAACCAACTTTATGGCTAAGCCAATCAGGACGCAGGGCGGGAGTTTCATAGATGTGACGTAGTGGAGAAGCGACCGTGAGACTGTTTTGATTCAGACAACAATGGCGGCTCGCATCGAGGAAGCAAGCGTTAACATTGATGCTGCTATTTACTCCGTGTTGTCCAATCCACCTAATATTGTTTCATTAAAAGAACATCAGAGAACGGCTCTGAAGGCTTTTGTTGGTGGAAACGATGTTTTCGCCCTTCTCCCGACCGGATTTGGCAAGCGTCGCTTTTTCCTGCGTCGCTCTCATCAGCGTCACAGGTTGGCTTCGGTGTGAGTGGTTGAAATAGCACGTCGATAAAGATGACAGACAAGTAGGGTTGGGTATCGAGAATCGAGTATCGATTGGAACCGGGACTAACTTTTCGTTTTTCCCGGAATCGTTCAAAAGTTAAAATTTCGATTCCTAGTTTCGATATTCACAGTCCGCCGAGCAGAAGAAGAAACCGCTGAACAACACCAACGAAGACGCGTCTACCGGAAGTCTTGGCATAACCACGCGAGTCGAACATGAGTACCTTACGTCGGCAATCCAAAGTGTGGCTTCACTTTTCTAAAAATAACGAAAAGGAAGGAGTATTTCCTTCAGAAAGGCCGTTGGTTAGCAAGGTTAGCTAAACTTTTTTGACCCTGCCTCTTAAAAGAATCGGAATCGAGAATCGTTAGGAACCGGAATCGAAACAAGGAATCGGAATCGGAATCAGAATCGTTCAAATTCAAACGATACCCAAGCCTACAGACAAGTGGCTTATCCAATCATATGCAAGGGTTTTTGATAAGGC